TTACCATCTTACCAATGCAGGAGAAATCATTCCCTGTGGTTGTTTGAAAAAAGCTCTGTATTTTTCGAAAACTTAGCTCACATATATTTACTCGACTGCATCGTATGCTAATGTTGCCGAGTTCATTGAACACAAGATTTTTTGTAGCAACTCCAGCTTTGCTTTAAAATCTGCTACTTCTCAATCCATTTGAAGACGAACCGTAGCGTGCCAAATATATTAAGATCACCACAGCTGATTCTTAGATGTCGCTTTTATGACAGACTTTAGGCCAAGCATGTTGAGGCCTAGGATAACAAGTATGTGACTGACTAACGAGGGCTCCAACTGCCATAATGTACCCTCGCATACACCAATACAATATGTAAAAGCAACGTCTCTTACAGACAGTACAGCGGACCATCACTGCCCACGTAGCCAAATGCAACTAGAAGTAACTATGTTAAATCAGCTGTCTTGCGTCGACAAAGGAATATTATATCTTCTGATATGGCAGATGACGACGGGATTGTAGCGCGTTCTGTCGTCGCCGGAAAATCTGCCGATGGTTCTCTTGCTCTGTTTGAACTTGAACTAAAATGGCCAATTTGGATACGCGCGATTCCATTGTCAAGCAGTACGCCGAGTCGCTAAGACCAACTGTTGCCTATTGGGCGGACTGCAGGTGCTGCAACGGCGCTCCGAAGGCATGGACGCTTCATACTTTTTAGAACAATTTGCGGCTTTCACCTACACGGCCAGCGATGGAAATGTTCGTCTCGATGGTGGACCTGCGGCGAAAACTGGTGACAAACAAGCTTGAGCGGAGATCAGCAGCAAGAAGCAGGGGCCGTAGAGTGTGATCGCAGACATCGATTTCGTTATACATCTCCCTTGCCCGAACGTCAACGTACTGACCGCCGCCGTAATGCACGGCACTGGCCTATAGAATTCCGAAGTACGACGTATCGTTCTTCGATGCGTTGTGCGCAGAGACGCAGTCGTAACGGGAATCTTCATTATCAATGACTACTTCAATCCATGAAGACTAGTTGAAGAATAATATTTCTTTAATTATCTCTATCTTAATAGCAAAACCCAAAACTTGAAAAAGAAAACAATTTCACTACAACCGATCAGAAACTTGATTCAAAACCAGAAAAGATCTAGCAACGGAATAACTGAATGACCAAACTCTTCCATCCATAAGTTTGTGTTTACGTGGTCTTACGCGTAATTTCTTAAGAGTCAACAAAGTCCCGCTGTGTGCTCCTCTAGCCATTTTCTCCTGAACTCTGGCTTTTTCTGATAGAACTATCGTCTGATATTACCGATACACAGCATTCGAACTCAACTTTAGAACCTGCTAAATTCGTTTTGAAGGCGAACCATCAGGACCTGTGCATCAAACCTTAGAAAATGGTCGCTGATCCTTAATTGTTTTTGCTTTAGCACCGCTTCAAAAAGCTGGCGCGGATCATATGCAAGGTTTCAAACAGAATGACAATTGATTTTTTACAAACACATCACATTTGGATCAACCGCTCTAGGGTCTGGTATTAAAGGCGACAAAACCTCCTTATAATTTGTAACCTTTTATTGCATACGAAATAGGAGAGATGCGTTAATTGCTCAGGATTCTAGCGTAATACTGCGTTACCTAGGAAAAAAGCTATACACTTTCATTCTCAATTCACACCCTGTTCGGTTGAAGTGACGTTTATGACAGAATTATACGTTGCATACTTTCGTCACAGACTCCTAAGTAGGATTGGGCATCATTCTATTAACTGTAATCTTGGATTGCAAGTAACAGGTTTGCCGCGATAGCTGGTCCGGCATTCGACATTTCTGCTACCTTTATCACATATATATCACACAATTTTAATAATAATAATAATCTCAATTTCACAAACAATTTTACTTATATAAAGTCGGTTCATTGACTTCCTTCGTTCACATAGACTGAAATCCAATGACTCTTCGGTGATCCCTAGTCTCCTAACTGCGAACTTGCTACGTGGAGCTAAAACAGATAGTCTTGTGAATTGTGTGAATACTAAACTACAAGAAAAATACCTGTACCTTACGCAGGTACGAGGGTACCTCAATGTAGTTAACACGACGAGTTTTCTTGGCCTGCGATTTCTAAATAAACATTTTTAGATCTAATTATGAATTAAGACGTTTCTTCTTCACAAATCTTCAGTTGCTCAAGCACTCCCTGTTGACGGATCGCGAACTTCAAGTCAAACACAGCGCTCACCTTAGGTACTTACAGATTCGCATGGATGAACAAAGTACTATTGAGATGACTAGTCGTACACCGTATTAGGCACACGATTGCCCTAGCTGGACATCGTTTCTGTCTAGTCAGAGTGAATAAGTCATAAGAGTTTACTCATATGACTTATTCACTCAGCGGCATGAAACTCGGCCATGCACGAAACTTCTGCACTTACTCCCAGTGTTGTTTACGGCTAAGTTCAAACTAAAACCCTCCGCACAGGTTGTATAATACCATCTTACTTTGGAACGATAACCATAATTCTTATTGGAATAATAGTACTAATTAAGACTACTGTAAAAAATAACTATTAATTTAATAAACTTTCAAGCTAAAAAATTGAGTCATTGAGAATCGCGTCATTTTCCACAAAATCATATCTGATCAGAGCCTTCGGTGGTAGAGGAAAACTGTTGTCCTCTCATCCAACCGCTATAGTACACCTTATATAACGAATATATATATATATATATATATATAGCGGCAGCATTTTGTGGAAATCATTACAGTGGCCTATGAGGGACGAGGTAGCCAGCAGCAGTTAGAAATATGTTGCGTTTGCTGATCGGCGTCGGTATAGGAGTGTCCTTTGTAGGAGTCGCGAACAGTGTGTCTGTTGTAGCAGATGGCGACAAGGCCGTGGGGCAATTTGCTGTAGCGGGAAAACATGCAATCGATATTCTTGCTCAGCGCAGCAGCAGCAGCGACTCATTGGTAAACTCGTCGTCGTTTGCGGAATTTCCTAAACCCAGTTATGCAGCTCCAGCCACAATACCACCGAAACTGGAAACCCAGAACACGAATTTCTCTATGTTTGAGAAGGGGTTTGTTGAATTGAGTGTAAAAAAGCCTACGTCACCAAAACGTTATGGAGGCAGAATTCGCCGTGATAAATTCCAAACGCATGTCGGGCACCAGGTGTGGCCTTTGGAGTCTAACGCCGCCAATAATGTGACGCCTGATACCAATAAAGTAAAGAAAGTTTCTACCGATAAGCTAAGCGGTGCAGCTTGCCAGCGAACAGCGGCACTAAATGACGAATCAGTCGCCAGGCATGCCGGCCGGAAAGTAGGCCACGAGAAGGCACGTAATCGAAGACGTAACCGGAAAGTTCGTGGGCATCCTGCACGGCCCCCACGTCGATTCGATTCTCATCACCGTCGCTATCGTCCTACAGCGAGTCGGATGCCTGTACATTCCCGTCGTACTCGAATGAGACATACCCCGGATTCAGGAGCGGAGGAAAGTGAAGAATAAGTGGGCTGTGACGGGGTTTCACGTCACTGTTTTTATTTTGTTACGGATTTTTGTGGCCGTAGACAATTGGCCAACAAGGAAGCAATAAAGGATCGTGTTATGCCCATCACGGTGTACTTTATATTAGATAGAACCACTGCCGGGTCGAGCCTATGAAGTGAGGCCTGCAAATCTCTCTCAAAACAATTAAGCAGGCTGAACCTTAACGAAGCACTGCCCAGTATCTCATCATCATCATCATCATCATCAGAAAATTATCATCATCAGAAAATTAAAGCAAGTAAAAAAAAGATCTCATCAATCACTAAAGTAAAAAAAATTAAAGCAAGTAGTAAAAAAGGTCTGAAATTAAAGCAAGTAGTAAAAAAGGTCTGAAAATTAGTTTTTTTTTTCTTTCAACGTGTCTTTCTTCAATTATTAATCAGCATCCTTCTTCCCAAACAAAGTCTCATCATCATTTGATGTAATCTCCCGTCTCATCATCATTTGATGTAATTTTTTTCTTTCAACGTGTCTTTTTTCAATTATTAATCAGCATCCTTCTTACCAAACAAAGCCTCATCATTCAATTATTAATCAGCATCCTTCTTACCAAACAAAGCCTCATCATCATTTGATGTAATCTCCCGTCTCATCATCATTTGATGTAATCTCCCAATCTCTCATTATCATCAATTTACATTAAATTAAACAACGAAACAGCATAGTCTTTCACCGTCATCAATTTATATAATTTTTCTTCATTTGCTGTTTTCTCTCATTAATAGCGTCCTGTCATTGATTCTTCTTTCTCTTGGGCATACCTCTTTGCATTGGTTTAGGCTTTTTAGGATATTAAATTGCGAAAGTCGAATTTCCATTATCAATTTTGTTGTTACTGGGTACACCGCTTCCTGAGTTGACTTCCCATCTCGAGCTGTAAATGCTTTTTGGGCCTGGGTTGCCGTCTTCGGTGGCAAAAAACGAAGCATTGTAATATGCTGATTCAGCTTTCACCAACACTTCAGCGCACTTCCGTAGGTAGGTAGTTTGCTGAACTTCGAACGATTTTCGTCAAATAAAACAAACATAAATCTAGCATAAATAATTTGCTCACCGAAAAGACTCGCCCAAAGTAGCCACGGACAGGGTCATACTTCCGTAATTAAATGTGATTTTATTCATGTTTTTACACTACCTTCGCAATAATGTTTTGGCATCAGCATAAATCGAATCGAAAAGCACCGTGAAAAGTCATTGGTCATGCGAAGCCTAAAAATTAAACCCAATGTAAACCTGAGACTTTCACCCCACCAGACACTACGTCCTAATTTACCTGGCTTAGCATTAAGTTTACTTTGCATTTCGTACGAAACCCCCTAATAGTTAATCAGATTGACTTGTATAGAACCTAAATGTATATATTAGATCCAAATAAAACAGTAAACTGTGAGAAATAAGCTCTCCTACTTTCTTTTTTTTACTTGTGGCTTTGCAGGCGTTTCTACATGAACATGGTATTGGCAGATGCATGATCGAACGTCGTAAAGCCTTCGGTGGACTGTTATGTTTTAACTAGTTTTAAATCGACATCGTTTCTATCACATTATAAATAAACAAGCCTCGTAGTAGGACCACCTTACATCGATATCCTGAAAATTCATAATACTAACGGCGATCACCACAAAAAATAATTACCCGTAAGGTCTGATCTTGAAAAACCTGAGTGTTGCACAGCGCTGTGCTTTTTATCAACATATTATGTTTAATATGACTGATTTAGTGGCTGTTGCTTGTGAAAAATACAAAATACAGCCAGCCGCCATCCTATTCCTTCTATGTATATACAAGTATATATAGTGCCAGTATTTCCTACAGATTATCACAGTGGCGTGTGACAGTCGAGGTGAGTAGACGCAGGTGGTAGCTAAAAGCAACTATGCTGCGACTGATTGTTGTTGCCGTCGGTGTTGGAGTGTGTGTAATAGGCGGGGTTTGCGGTGATACTGTTGTTCAACAAGAAGGAAACCTTAAAGCGGGCAAGCCTGCAGTAGATGATAACCCTCCTGCCGTGCAGTGGAATACTGCTTCAGGCCAGAAACCGGCCCAGTCGTTGCTTTCGAATTTGTTGGCGACAGGGGCGACAGGCCCTACATCGCGGCTACCTCGGACCACGCCGGAAAAAGTTAAGGAGCACTCGGAGGGTTGGAAGAACGAGCTAAGGGGTAAGAGAGTAGCAGAAGGTGGAAGGCTCAAGCGCTTTGCGCGGCCCTCAGCAGCAGGTCTTCGAGGCCGCCGTGAGCGGGACGGTAATCACGAGTCTGTAAGCCACGATGCTGGCAGGGAACGTAGACTCCGTAGACCGGTAAACAGAAAATCAGCTGAAGCCGACTTCGTTCCTGCGGAGGCTAGGCTGCACGATGAAGATTCGAGACTGTACGAAGACAAAAGGGTACGAACGAGAACTGAGAAGCGCGTCGCCGCTGGTAGGCGATACGTGAGTACTATTGTTCCCAGTCGTCGAACTCAATTTCGGGTCCGCAAAGAGTATAATGAAGGCTATGAGGACGATGATGGTAATGATAAAGATGAGTCCGACAGCGGGTCAGGTGCTGGCGATGATGACTCCGTTGCGAAACCGTTGTCTGGAGAGGACGATGACGAAAACAACGATCACGAAAACAGGGACGACGAAGAATATGACGATGACGCCAACAAAAATAACGCCAACATCGAGGATATCTATGATTATGACGACGAGGACGACGAGTACGACGGAGACTTAGGTTACGAGTCGGATAGAGAAGACTATTACGAAAACAAAAACGGGGACTATTACGAAAACAAAAACGGGGACTATTACGAAAACAAAAACGGGGACTATTACGAAAACAAAAATGAGGAGTTTGGCGCCCTGTACTATGATGGAAGTGAGTGAACGGTGAACGGCCTCCGGCGTCGCCCCACCGCAGTTTTTCTAGTTTTTTTGTGCAATAAAGCTACAACGACCATCGAATGTTGTTTTTTTTACGATTGATGACGGATGTTGGGGATGTTGTTATTTTTACGTACGATACAATTTTTTTTACGATTGATGACGGATGTTGGGGATGTTGTTATTTACGTACGATACAATTGATGACGTACGTTTTTTTTACGTACGATACAATTGATGACGTATGTACGATATTGTTTTTTACGACTGATGTAGTTTCACGTTACGATTGATACACTACAATTGTTTACAATTACGTAGAAGATGTTGTTAAGATAACAGACGAACGATACAACTGTATTCGTCTGTTATTGTAACGTAAATGTATTGTAGAACTGTTATCGTATTCGAAACATTTACGTTACGATAACAGACGAATACGATAACAGTTCTACAATACGTTTACGTTACGATAACAGACGATACAACTGATAACAGACGATACAACTGATAACAGACGATACAACTGATAACAGACGATACAACTGATGACAGATGTTGTTCTACAATACAATTGATACATTCTACGGTACAATTGGTGACAGATACGATACATCGGTACGGTACAGTTGGTGACAGATACAATTTTGATGCCGCTTTACGTTACGATAACAGACGATACAATTGATGACACATGTTGTTTTACGATACGATTGATTACGTGGATTGTATCACTCGTACGTGATTTATAGTATATTATCACCTAACTGATAGTATGTGATGCTTTTTTTCACAGGTGATGTTCCAGCGGCGGACTGCTAGTGAGGGCGCCATCGTCGCTTCCCCCGTTATTGTGCCATGGCGCACTCGCGACTTCTGCCGCCGCGTCAACGCCGCCGTTCATCCAATAGCAGCTGTCTACCGTCGCCGTCGCATGTTGACACAATTGTCTCAGCTAAAACCTGCCGCTGCTACTCCTGCCGGCACGACATTGCACAGGGTTACCGTCTGCGTCATCAACGTGAGAAGGCCATCGTTTTTTCCGCTGCCACCGCCGACGTTCGTTTCGTCACTGCAAAAGTTGTTTACAACAAAGAAATCCACAGCTGCCGCCGTCAACTCGACAATAAAACGCGCTCCCCAAATCAAGCAAAATCTCAGCTCAGCAACAGGATCTCTTGCAGATATCACAAGAACAGCCACCGGTACCAAATCGTTTACCTTCCGCTGTGCAGCCTCTGCCAGCAACATAGTGTCCCGTGTCAGTCATCAGCTTCGTCAGTGTCATCTTCAGCAACAACAATCACAACAGAGTCTTCGGGCATTTTGTCGCCGTTTGTCTTGCACTCCCCCTCTGAGTCATCAGCACCACCGCCTTGTTCAACATCTAAAGCGTCAGAATCGAAACCTTTTTGTTTTAAGTGGTCTTCTTGTTTCGCTTCCTCCACATCAGCAGCAGCAACAACAGCAACAAAAGCCTCTTCATCACTTAGTTCGTGGTCGTGTTCTTTTTTGTCGTCACGTTCCTACTGTTCTTCAGCTCTTTATGGCCGCCCCTGCGGTTCTCGCCGCCACCGCCGCCGAGCCCCGCCGATGCCCCAGTCCCTTGTGCCCATGGGCTGCCTGAGCAGAAGTAACAGCCGCCGCAGCATCAGCACTCGGCTCGCTCCGCAGCAACCCGCCATTGCCATCGCCGCCGTCCAGCTGTTACTGTCATCCGCACGCGAGTACCGCGACTCCTCCACTCTCGACGCGACAAAAAAAGCAACAATAACAACTACAACAAGACTAGAAAAAGCTACAACAACGAGAAACAACAACGTTAGCTATAATATTAAGCACAGGACCAAGAAAAGCAAGAAAATCCGCAACACGAGCAACGGAATTCTAACCAGGATTAGCAACCAAAGCAGCAACGTGGAAATCGGGTCTTCCATTGATTCCACATTGACGATTGGGGATTTGCCCGATTTGTGTGATTGCGTGTTTGTAGAAACGACAGCACCAAAAAAAGTTTTTTCGTCGATTGCTGGAAGATTGCAGCGGCAGAAAGAACAGTTAGCACAGTGTGAGAATCGTCCTTACGGCACTCGCCTGGAGGATCTTCACCGAAACGATATACGCTGCTCCACCCAATTGTATGCTTACACAACAGGGCGAATAGTTTACGGGCGAAGACGAATCAACCGAAGCGATTTTCAAGCTCCTAGTGGTTCTGCCCCCTGTTCTCTTTTTTCAGTTTACTCAGAGCAGCAGTATCAACTTAAGCAGAGCAGTTTCAATTCACTAAATCATCCGAAGTCAACATCGGTCGTTTCACTGCTCGGCGTCTGCGATCGGCCTGACGCAAAAGTTGCGTTACATAGTCTGGATCACACGCGTCAATCTTTAACATATACGACCGCTCAACGGTTTCGGCTCACGAGGACGAAGTTAAGTAATCAGGGTATCAGCAGCGGCAGTGAAAGCAGTTGCGTGTACGGCTACTGTTGTTCAAGTGCGGGACGGTTGCCAACGAAGGAGTCTGCAGGAACGCTAATTCGTTCAAGCCAGACTAGGAGTCCAATTTCGGGGTTGTCGTACACTGAACAAGTCTTACGGACTGATCGAGGACAGGCGAAACATGGCCGACTTAACAAGCGTGGCCGAAAGCGGCTTGGATGGGGTCCTTATGGGCGCCACAGGATTACCTGTGGTTACAGCAGACAGGCTGTTCTGCGACGGTGCGTAACTTGTTTCAATTTTCCGATGCAATGATTATCTAGTAGTAGCAGATAGAGTGACGGTTAGTATATTATAATAGTAATTGAATAGGGTAGCTGTTTGAACACGTTTGACGTGGTCAATATTTTCGGATTTCAGGTAAATCGGCTTAGCCCTAGATCCTATTGTCCTTAAGTTTAACGCTGATACATATACTGAGAGTATAATTATACTGTTATTCATGTCTGTATCTGCTTTCTAGGCGTACCATGGGAAAAACTCCGAAAGTGGCCTGCTTTAGCGACTCTTCTGGTTCTTGTCGTGATCAACTTTGTGGTAATCTTCGGTAAGTAAACTTAAGGGTAAAGTCCACTTGAATCGGTTGTCTCGGTTATTAAATTTTGGTGACATGCTTCGTACAAACAAGTCATTTAATCGTAAAAACTAGGACGTTAATATTAAGGATCATAACTTGTACAAGGCATTTAGGTGTGTTTAGTTTCGAAAACATCGTGAGAAAGGTAACTTTATGCATCTTCCTTAACCAGATAGCACTGTTATGTTTTCCTGACGAATCTTTTAAAGGTTTCCGCATTAAAAAAGACGTGTTTTCAAGTATAAGGACAATTAGTCCTATGTGGTTACCAAGAAGCATTATCCAGATGTTATTTGCAGCATGTCGTTACATTTTAAATCGAAATATACTTCGTAACATTTGAGGCGCAGTGGCGCACTATGAATTAATTTGTTCTAGATGACTGTATCTGCCTTGCGGAGAAGCCAGGGCGATAATGGGGACAACTTCGTTCACCGTGAATCGCAAGGGCTGAGCTGGAGGAGATCGCTAGTACATTCTCAGTCGTGGTATCTTGAAGCTCCGCTTTTGCCGATGAACTCGCTGGCCAAAGTGGGGTGACGTCACATAACCCGTGATACGGCGACCGAACAGGCAGTAGTTAAACGTTTCTAAATTGAGCTTGATTCCTCTGGCGGAAACGTGTTCACTCCTTACCCTTCCCTTCCAGTCGCCTCGTCTGCTTTCGGCGTAAGCTCGACCGCGTACCTTCACACACTAGACTCATTGCAGCTATGTACAAGATGGGCTAGCTAGACTGATAGCCATTAAACGCTTGTTGTATTGGCTTTTGCATAGGCGTCACTAGTGAAAGCCGCGAGATGGTCGCGACAAATCGTCTATGTTTTTATTGACGTGCTATACGCTGTAACAGCACTTTGAGAGAACACATAAACTTGAATATTAGATTACAATTAGAATTACTAGAGGACACAACCATTGATTACTTACGTATCAGTGACTAGGCGTAGTTACTGCTGCCTGAACCTTCCGAATCTTACGTCCGCCCTTAATGCCTTAGTTAAGCATTGTTTTAGACGGCTGGCCCTTTGCAGCATGGAGGGAATAGCTTGTCTATAAACTTCTATTCGCAATGAACAGTAGCGCCTGCCACTTACTGTTCGCATAACGGCGTCAAAGCGCCACCCAGTTGGGTATAATAATGCAGACCCTGTATTTTTATGTTGACGAAATATAACCAGGTTGTTAAACGTAGGTTACGAGCTGTTGGCAACGAGCGGGTGGTTCTACCTCAGAAATGAAACCTATTCAAGTAAGGCGCCTATCGATGTCTATAGTACAAAAAATATCGCAAACAACCTGCGCTGGCTCGCTCTTAGTCGAGGATTCTTACTTCGATAATTTCCGTCTAAAATTGAACAGCGTTCGTCTCTCTTTTATGTCACACTAAGTATTCTTACATTTTTTTATTAATTACAAAGTAATTTTAGGATAAGAAGAATAAGAGTGCGTGTCTTGCTCTCCGGAGCTGTTAAATAAGCCGCTAGAAAATATTTGCATTCGTAACGGCAACGCCAACAATACTCTTCTTAACCAAGACGACACAACTATGGCTGATATGACTCCGATTTCATAATCCAATGGCGCAGTGCACGGCCCCGTTGAGACCATGGTGTAGCATATAACTATTCTTCGTCTTGCTGCGTCAACGAATCTTCGTCTATTCTAAGGATCATGTATTATAGATAGGGAATACTATATATTGTTGGTAGTTCGGTTGAAATCAGATTCAAGAGCTGCCCAATTAAAACTTGTGCAGAGCTTCGCGCATAATCGAAATTCTCAACAGAGTGTATCTGCAGCGGGCGTCCTCCAGTCTGTAGCAGTATAGCAGAACTTACAAAAGGCTGGAGTGTTAACATCAAAGATAGCCACGATGATAACTTTTGTTCGTCTGATTTGGATCCTATCTGATCTGATCGCCACGAGTGGGTCGTTCCTTGGGCTAACACGCGGCTATCGAAAACTACACGCTGCAGTTGGCTGCATGACCATGCCTCTAGTGACAGGACTACACATTGTCGCCATGGTCTCTTATAAACGTAAAGCGTAAAAAAAAACAGCCTTGGGTAGGGGCATCACATAAGTTTTTGAATTATAAATATGCTAGTCGACTAGTTAGTGAGTTTTTTTTTGTCTCATGCATCGACGCTGTTAAACGCACACTTTTCCTATTTACCTGAAAACCTAAGAAATTGTCTAAGTTCAATTAACTTTCGGATTCACTTAACCTATTGAACATTGCGCCATACAGTATCGTTATATGAGTGAAAGGTTCATACGCTATAATATTCGTATATAGAATATGGACCTATTGGTCTCCGTTATTTTGTACGTTCATTTTCTCTGCCGATCAAACGTTGCGAATGTATCAGCTGGGCTTCGGGTGATTTGGTACATCCGTCCGTTACTCACGTTTATTAAGCCATTACCAGGAATGACTCGGATGATTTTTGCTAACCAGCGTAAGGGATTTTATACTTTTGGACGTTTCGCGTTGAGGGCTAAAACGACTGCGGCATACTTCAATATTCATGTAACGATTAGCATTTTTTTTTTATCTGTTCGTCGATTACGTTGGTTTTAGGATCGTACCTGCCTGCTCAAATTTAAGTTCCAAACCAGATTGAGTTTATTGAAGGCTGTGATTTCCTACCACCGATTTGTCGTAAAGGACAGTAATGCCAGTGGTAGCAAATATATTGTATTGTAAGTGTAATTATACCAACGACGGTCAAATCGAAGTTGAGAATTTGAGACAACTGAAAATAAATTACCTCAGTCCCGACGGGGTCGAATCCAAAACCTCATTATTAAGATATTATTTAGCTGAATATATATTCTTAACGCGAAATCGAGGAGTATATTTTCTTATTAATACAAATATGATTGCTTTAGTCAAAATATTATTATTGTCGTTTTCTACGAAAGAACTAAATGTATGGGTTGATATAATCGACAATATAGCAGACCTTTATTGAACCACAACACGCACAGGTTGGTAGCCCCGCTCACAATTCGAATTGGATCTATTAATGGGAATGAAATCTTCGGTCTGTTGTTTTGTCCTAACCAATCCCAATGTATTCCTTCACCTTTGACTATCGATGACACTGCTTACGCGCGGAGACAGCAGCTATTAACCGAAATCGATGTTTAGTCATCTAGACAGTCTTTTTTCGAAACTGAAGCCTGCTGATGCCTTTTTACTACCTTCATCATTTTGGTGGCCTGTAAAGGACACCGAACCACGCGTTTCGTGACGGTCCCGAAGAAGGTAAAAGGTCAGAGCGCATAAAGGCCGTAAAGGATGTAAGGCCCTAGAGACGATCACCAATGGGTGACTGTCAAGACAACACCGTTCCTGGTTATATCTCTCGACGTTTCTGATAAGCCTCGCCATTAACCGTTGACGTCTCTATTTTTCTAAGAATTTGGTCTAAAGCTGGAGCCACAGCTATCTAACACAAATAAGTGGCCTGAACGTATATATGTAATACTCAAACGAAACCAATGATGGACATTGTAACATTCTTTCTTTGTTGACGATTTTAACAACTATAGTCGATTGTAGTCCATTATGGATAGAGCGCTACTTTAAAATCAAAACCTTCCTTTTGGGCTCTATTAAGTTGCTATGCTCTGCCCCCCGTTGGTAGTGTTAGATCGCCCAGATTTTCACTCGTAGACAAATCTATCTATTGCATTTTATGATACAGAATCATCAATGGGATATAAAGTTCACACATTCATAGGAGCCGCCTGCGTGAACGCTTCGCTAGTCGTGAGCCACCTGTATGATCTAAACATTTGTCCACCATCATCATTTGGATTTACTTCTTTTTTACCACCTTAACGCGCACCTCCAACATGGCTTCTTGACTTCTCTAAAGGCTAACCTAGTCTTACTTATCTTCTCCGAAATAGATGTGCAATACTTTGTGTTCGTATAACCAGCATCGTGTCTTTGCCTGTCGACAGTTTAGGGCCATTAAGGCTCCTCGCATCGGTATACAACACGTCTTTTGACATGTCTGCGTATATTTCGCTAATCCTCATGTAAATGAAATCTCCTAGGCAAAAGAAACTTTATATGCTTCATGTATTACTTTCGGTGCTTTGTAATGGGCTTCTGCTAGGGAAGCTTACTCATAACTAAAGAGCGCATGGCAATAGCGGACCATAAAAAAAACGACGGAAAGCTTCAGACTTTAGCGAACAAAGGTCTGTTGCTATCGAGTGTAGGTACGCCGTGGGTAGGTCTGAGGGTCCATATGTTACTGGGCCGAAACGTTAGAAATACTCAGGTACATTAGGGGTGATTATATTTAGTGTTCAAGCCGTTAGCAACGGTAGAGAGCGCTAGTTGTACTTTAAGGTGGGCTAATTTGATGTACGAAACAGTGCAAAGGAATAGAAAAAGAAGTCGAACACTGGCGTTGTATGAAGTTGTACCTGTAAGTTTCAAGTTCCTATGTTAGGTGTCGCCTTTAAGCGTTCCACTAGACAGTTGGTTTCGAGCATGAAACAAAGTGTGTCTATGGCCGGGTTCGAACCTAGACAATTAAGCTATTGCAACGACTAAAATTGTACCTATTTGCATTAAGCTATCTGTCCTATAGTATTTCAGCGGTGTTGTAAAGGAGCTGTCAGTACTTAACTGAGATTCATTGAAGATGGTTTCGTTTTGTTTTTGTCCAGTATACGCACCTTTACGGTATTGGCGTATATTTGTCAGTAGAGATAACTATGTGTGACGGTGCAGGCGGTAACGTTGGGAACTTCGGATCTCTGGCTCTAATCTGGGTGGGCACATGCAAAGTGATGCGGTCTTGTACGTGCAAATTTGCTAGTAAACTAATTTATTATCTACAAAACAGCGCATAGCAGAATTTTCATAAGAGTTACATTATTGAATTTTCATGTTTGAGAAAATTTACTAAAGCATTAACGAAAATTTTACATTTATA